TGGCAGATTTTGCTTGCCTCAGATTCTCACAGAGGCCCACAGTTTTAGGCACCACACCCAAGGCTTTCGTTTGCTGTTTGATGAGCTCTTTTCACCATTGGCCAGCGTATAGTAAAACAGAGAATAAACGCCACAGTCCTTTTCCCCCCCGAGTGGAAATGGGGAGGTGGATGTTGGGGGGATCCTGGGCCCATCCTCTCCTCCGGGTTCCAGCCCAGGGCCCTGTTATAGTAGCTGCCTGTATGAGTCCCCAACACCTCCTATAAGACAGTTCTAAGACCTGTGGGCTACTTCCCCGTACCTGCCCTGACACCTTCCTTCTCTCCTGTTTGTCCTCCTAGTGTTCAGTTCTTGTCTCCTTTCCTCCTACTCCCATCGGTACCCTCTTCTCTCCTCTCAGCTACACACACACACACACACACACACCCGCAATAGGCAAAGTTTCTTTTATAGCCAGTTTGACCTGGCTTTCATATTTACCCCCAGGAGTCCTAATTAGCCTAGGCTGGCCTAACTCTGCTGGCCTGGTCAATTAGTCCCAGGTGTTCCACTGCTCCTGATTGCCTCTGCTGGTTCTAAAACAGCCTCTCCCTGTTACTCTGGGATCAGGGATCTCCGCAGTCTGAGGCTTATAGATTGCCCCTCCACTCCCTTTTTATAGCCTTTGGTTCTGACCCTATCCCAGTACTAAAAACCATCAAACGATGCTTTTCTTTAATTACTTGCCAAGGGTCCATTTATTTTTATTTAAAATGGCTTGTTTTTAAAGTTACTTGGGAACAAACAAAAATAATCACCACCCACCTTTCCTTACCCCTCATATCCTTTAAAAATATCCCATCGCATTCTGATGTCTTCAAAATTAATCCTAAATAAATAACACAAATTATTTGGAGCTCTTCATGGAGATTCTCTAAGTCCTTCTCCCTACACTGTATCCCTGATCAGCTTTTAAGGGAACAGAATGATAGGAGAAACTCCAAAATGATTGTAATGACAAATATAAGATTGAGTCTTAGCTTAGGCGATTTTGTGCCTTTTGAGTTGTGGTGCTTGGACACAGGGTGGCGCTAAAACACCATCTACATCTTTCCAAATGAGCTCTGGATCGGGATAGCTGGAGAATATATATACAGAGAGAGGATCCATGGAAGGAGGCATCTTAACATATTATGAGGCATATTTTGTCCTGCTAAAGTATGTTATGAAAGGCAGTTGCAGCAACCCAAACTGTTGACCTTTCTTGAAGCTGCTGTTTGTGACTTTTTGTACCCACATAATGACTGGGTTAACTGTAGGGATGTGTGTGTGTGTAAGCATCCACATTATGACTGGGTTTAACTGTAGGGATGTGTGTGTGTAAGCATCCACATTATGATTGGGTTTAAATTGTAGGATATAGACATCTGTAAGACAAAAGCCTGAGCACTACTTTCAAGGCTGATCCAAGTTATCTTCTAGATCAGGTTTCCCAACCCATTCTATAGGTCGGGACCCAAATATGGGTCGCCATTACATTTCAAAAGGGTCACCAAGTGTCTCCCCAGGTGGCTCTGTCCCCTCTCTTCCCCCCATTTTTGAATTGCCCTGGGTCACCAAGTCTTCCTGAATTGTCAAAATGGGTCCCCGTCTGGAAAAGGTTGGGGACCACTGTTCTAGATACTCCATCTAACAACTGTAACCTGGTACTTGCGGCAGTGTGCATGTGCCCCTAGTGCATTACCAGCACGATCATTATCACCAAGGCCTATGTTCTAGGCATTGTTCAGTATCTCTGGAGCATATAGTGCCCAAGGGATTCCAAATTCCTGTATACCTTTTGAGATTTGGAATTGCCACCCCGTTACTGTTGGCAAGATAATGTCACCTTGAAAGTAAATATGAATCACAGAAGTAAAAATGCACATGGTTCAGGGAGGAGGTGTGGTGGGGTGGCCAACGCACAGGACTGTTGGATTTCTAAAGGGATAATGCTGGGGGGGAAATGCTCCCTCTAAACTAGCTTGTGTGGCTTTAGTATTCATGTCCTACTCACTGGACAATGCACATCCCCCATTCTTAGCCTCTCCAAACATAGCTAGAATTGACAAGCTATTTCCAAGTTCCCCGCACTGGACAATGCACATCCCCCATTCTTAGCTTGTCAATTGCTAGCTATGTTTAGAGAGGCTATTTCCAAGTTCCCCAACATCTGAGATGCTTCATGTGGCTTCCTCTGAATCCTCACCATTAGAAATCCCATAGAAAATGGTTGGGTTTGAGAGCCGGGACTCCTGGCTCTACCATTCACGTTCTACCTACCAGGGGGTGGCTCTCTTCACCCTTTGTTAGTTTCCCGGAGTGTAACATTGGTATAATGCTGCCTGCGAACGGCTGGGGTGCTCTTGTACTGAGTAGGGCAGGCTGCTTGTGTGTCTGCTGGTTTGGGAGATCAGCCCGTTGTGCAGAAGGGCACTTAGGGGATTAGTAGCATTTGCTTATGACTTGGGGTGGGAAGGAAGGTTTCCTTCTCCTAGCCTGTGGCAGATTTCGCAGGGCCATAGGGTGCCCTCGGCATCTGGCTCTTGAGATGAGAAAGGGGACGCTGCATGCAGACCAGCACAGCCTGTGCCGGGGCCAAAAAAGACGTGGCCCCGCACCAGCCTCGAGAATGTCATCTTGCCATGGTGTGTGGATCTGTCAGGGCTGTTTAGCTGCAATATGACAGATTGTCCTATTAATGTGTCATCGAGTGCACTTTTACAAATTCATGGCTTGTCTACAACTAACCTGAAAGGGGGGCTTAAGTATGAGAAGGCGCCAAAGAAAGTTAAATATTATTAACAAATAAGGACTGCCACATAGTTTTGATGGAATATGA